CAGCTGCGGCGGCTGCGACGGCGGTGGCGGCGGCGGCGGTGGCGGCGGCGGTGGTGGCGGCGACGACAGCGGCGACAGCGACGGCGACTGCGACTGCGACAGCGGAGGGGGGGACACCGAAGGGGAGGGGGCACGGCACAGACGGACCGAGGGGACCTCCAAAGTAAGCAGACTTCTCAACGAGGACAACCGACGGGAGGGGAGTGACATGGGAGACACCAGACGGGGCAAGACGGGGCGGGAGGGGAGCAGGGGCTACCGGGGGAGAGGGAGCAAGGAACAGGGGGGGGGAAACCGGGAGACCTCGGTGAGGGAAGCGACGGAAGAAGGAGACAGACTCGTCAAAGGTGACGTCACGAGAGTGAAGGAAGCGGTGAGACTGCGAGTGGTAGAAGAGCCAGTCAGACGAGTCCAGGGGGAAACCGAGGAAGACACAGGGGACAGTGCGGGCAGTGAGCTTGTCCGTGCCGGAGGCACGAACGTGAGCAAGGCACCCCCAGATGTGGAACGCAGACACATCACCGGGGGACCCCGTCCAAAGGAGGGTCGGCAAAACCTGCGGCCGCTGGGAGCGTGGCCACAGGTTAAGCTGGTGAGCAGCGTAGCGAACAGCGAACGGCCATAGAAAATGGGGGGCATCGGCGTAAATCATGGAGGTACGAGCAACCTCCATGACCAAGCCGATGCGGCGCTCAGCAACCCCATTCTGCTGTGGCGAGTCCGGCAAGGTGTACGACTGGGTGATGCCCTCCGCACGACAGAATTGTCCAAGACGACCAGAGGCGAACTCGCCTCCACGGTCGGAGTGGAGACACAGCACAGGGAGACCGCGGTGAAGACGCGCAGCCACAACCCACGGGAGAAGAACGTCGGGCACGTCGGCCTTCCGCTCCAATGGAAACACCGTGGTGTAGCACGTGTAGTCGTCGACAAGCACAAGAAAGTAGCGCTCACCGCGCGGTCCGGGGATGGGGGCTGGGCCCCAAACGTCCAGGTGCAGGGTCTGAAGGGGAGCAATAGCAGGGCGAAGAGAGGAGGAGTGAGGGGCACGGCGGAGGCGTCCCTTGACGCAAGGTGTGCACGGTGGCGCAGGCGACGGGGGAAGTGCGGGGAGCGACTCGGGGAGGCCTAAGACAAGACCGTGCTGAGACATGTGACGCAGGCGCGGGAGAGCACGGTGACCTAAGCGGTGGTGCTACAGAAGGGACGGGTGTGTGAGGGATCGACATGAGCAAGCTGCAGCAACCTGGGAGGACGCACCAACCGGGGGGGAAGCGGTGTCAAGGGTAAACAGCCCGGACACCGGGTCCCGGGGGAACGTCGCAAGGGGGGAACCTGAGACAGCCTCGGTACAGACAGCGAACCGCTCATGCCCAGGGAACGTAGTGGTGACGCCGAGGTCCTAAAGACGGCCGACACCAACCAGGTTCCTGGAGAACGAGGGAACGCGGAGGCCTGTAAGAGAGCCCGGGGGAACGGCTGGACAGGGAAGGGAAGTAGAACTGCGAGCGACGACAGGTCCTGCGGAGGGGTCAGCGAGAGCGACAACAGCAGGCGCAGCAAGCGGCGTGAGCGTGGAGCGATCGCGGAAGAAACAGGCAGAAGCACAGGAGTCGAGAGTGAAGGACAGTGAGGCAGTAGCGGAGGCCGGGAATGAAGCCGGTGCAGGAACTGGGCTAGGCAAATGAGGCAGTCCTATGCCTGACGCAGCAGGGGGGGCTAAGCTACACAAGGGTGCTACGCCTAAACTAGAGTACACAGAGTAATAAGATCCAGCAACACTAGAAGCATCAGCATACAAGGCATGCATAGCAGCACCTATCTCATCCATATCTAATTCAAAGATCGGCACGCCCTGGCGAAGCAGGCTGTGCCAGTCGGGGAGGTCCGGGGCCGGGCCAAAGCGACAACGAAAGAGATCGTCGAGGCGGCGGAAACAGCGGGCGATCGGGTGCGGGCGGCGGCACAGAGTGCTGCGGAGAGGCCCGGTCTGAAGCTGGTACTGGCAGGTCACACTACCGAGGCTGCCAGTAGACGCCAAGTTGCGCGGGCCGCCACCACGGCCACCACCCACGGAGGCGCCGGGCCATCCCGGGGGGAGATGAGCCCACGGCTGGGGCTGGGACCGCTGCGGGGACGACTGCGACTGCGGCGGCTGCTCCTACTGCTAGGGCGACGGCTGCTGCTCCTGACTAGCTGCGGCAGTCCCCTCAGTAGAACCACTGTCCCGGCACCACCACCACTACCACCAGCTCCACCACCACGCCCTCCCTGGCGGCCACGACCGGCGCGGCGCGGGCGCTGCTGCGAGTGCACGGCAGCGGTAGTCTCGGTCAGAGGGGTCGCAGTGGCGACCGCAGCGGAAACGTCGGTAAACGTGCACTGGGAGGGGGCACAGCCGTGAAAGATAGAGAATTCCGGTGCACCGCTCGACTAAGCGATAGTACGTTGGCGAGTTTCGATCTCGGTCAGGGCGGTGACAAAGGCTGTCAGGGTGAGGTCGCCGGGGTGCTGGCTAAGGATGTGGTCGTGGGCACTAGCAAGGCGGTCAGGCAGGCGCATAGCGATAAAGTAGAGGGTCATGTAGAAGGGGGGAGGGAGCGCAGTGAGCTGGGCAGCAGTGCTAGCAGTGCGGTAGCGAGAGTCGAGGGCGCGCAGGTGTATGGCAAGATCAGCAACAGTAGGGAAGGAAGCAAGGTATGGGAAAAGCATAGGAAAGAGCAGGCGGCCTGCAGTAGCAGAGGCAGGCGTAGAATAGCGAGCAACTACAGCATCTAGGTAAGCCTTGGCTGTATCAACTGTAGCAAAACGCGAACGCTCAGGCACAGGGAGGGCGTGACTAATAGCGACCTGAGCAACTGCATCGCGAGAGTCCCAGATTGCACATGCAAGTGCAGCAGCAGAGAACACCTCACGCTCAGCAAAGGTGGTGTTAGCAGGGAGGGGAGCAGGTGCAGGGGGGCGGGGGAGCAAGCCATCAACATGGACAACCAAGGAGTGCCCATCATGGCGCTGACCTGTGAGGTGACGGCGGAGATCGGACAGCCAGGCGGCGAAGTCAACCGCATGGCCCTCCGCGTCCAGGCGGAGGACGAAGTCAGCCATCGTGCAGAATCAGCGACACAGGGACACAGCGGCACAGCTCCACAGGACAGCGAAAAGACGCTCTAGCTTAGCAAGCAGACGACACGAGCCGCAGGAGCCGGGCGGGCACGGGGAGTTGCGGGCCGCAGGAGCCGGGTAGGCGTGTCAGGGCCGGGCAGGCAGTAGGAGAGGCAGGGCGGGCGCTGTGGAAAGTGCCGAGCGGGCGCTAGGAGGGGCCGGACGGGCGCGAGGTGGGGCCAGGCGAGCGCTAGGTGGGGCCGAGCAGGCGCTAGGTGGGGCCGAGCAGGCGCTAGGCGGGGCTGGGCGGATGCTAGGTGGGGCCGAGCGGGCGCTAGGTGGGGCCGGGCAAGCGCTAGGTGGGGCCGAGCGGGCGCTAGGTGGGGCCGGGCGGGCGCTAGGTGGGGCCGAGCGGGCACTAGGTGGGGGCCGGGCGGGCGCTAGGTGGGGCCGAGCGGGCACGATGGGGCTGGGCGAGCGCGGCGGGGCCAGGCGGGCGCGGTGGGGCCAAGCGGGCGCGACAGGGCCAGGCGGGCGCGGTGGGGCTAGGCGAGCGCGGCGGGGCCAGGCGGGCGCGACAGGGCCAGGTGGGCGCGGTGGGGCCAGGCGGGCGCGTCGAGGGCCAGGAGGGCGCTACGGGGGCCTGGAGGGCGCGTCGGGGGCCAGGAGGGCGCGACGGGGGCCAGGAGGGCGCGACGGGGCCTGGAGGGCGCAACGGGGGCCAGGAGGGCGCGACGGGGCCTGGAGGGAGCGACGGGGGCCAGGAGGGCACTACGGGGCCAAGAGGGCGCGACGGGGGCCAGGAGGGCGCGACGGGGCCTGGAGGGCACTACGGGGCCAGGAGGGCGCGACGGGGCCTGGAGGGCACTACGGGGCCAGGAGGGCGCGACGGGGCCTGGAGGGCGCGACGGGGGCCAGGAGGGCACGACGGGGGCCAGAAGGGCGCTATGAGGCCAGGCGGGCGCGACGGGGCCACGAGGGCGCTAAGGGCCGGGCCGGGCTAGGTAGGTAGGGGGAGGCGAGAGGCTAGGGCGCGGGTGGGTAGACCTAACCTACTCGATACCATGTTAGAATACGAGAATGTTTTACTAGTGTGAGAAACCTAGAACATATACCTGTTGGGGTTGTACTCACTAGAAGCACACACCTAGGCTAGCCTATAACTTCTACATGCAACATATGTATAAGTTGACACCTGCATCTGGCTTGATATCGAAATGTGACCCTGAATTTGTTTTCTTGGCGGTCAGACACAGCCTGGTAGTGGGTATTCGACGTTTCCCGTTTCCGAAATAAGGGCATTTGTTATTGCGTCTGGATTGCCCCACTCTTCACTATTCCCAGCCATTCCTGCAAAAAAGCTGGAATTCACATCAACCGGCTGTTGGCACGATTTCGCCCGAGTCAGGAGCTAGGTGCCCTTTCCTCGTGCCGTATTCCAGCCTTCCTTATTCTGGTGATCGGTACGCACCTCTATTCCAGGAGGTTTGGTATGATTAAAAAGATTGGTTGGCTTTAAGCCTATTCCGAGCCAGCCCTGAGAAATTGCTGGACACCATCCTTATTCCAGAATACGGCCAACCGATCAGGGCCCTAGGGTTTGGAGATTTGGCGAAGTGCGCTCTGATGTTCTTGAAGTTTCGTGCTGGCGCGCGTGCCCAACTTTCAAGAAACTTTCAAGACGTACCCATCAATCGAGTGAAACTTCTATCACAAAACATTTTGCAGGCACACGATTGGCCACAGACCTTCGGCTCCATTCTTCCGCTTGTCCGTTCGTTGGTCCTCGACTTTCCAGGCACCCCGAGAACCTTTCGAAACGGAACTGGCAAGGATCTTGATGGATGACATCTACATCCCACTTTGGACACGCCCTTCAGCTGATGGTAGTGTTCACAGCACTCACATGCATTAGCAAAACAAGACAAGCCAAATTATTTTCTACTCTTGGTTCTACTTCCATCCCCACAAATGTTACGCTACGTAAAACCTACTTCCAACTCTGATCCTTGAGTCAATTACGGAACTAATACGCAATGGACAAAACCGCACATCCACTGTTACAATGAGTTGTTGTAAGTCAATGTTAGTCCAAGTCAATGTGCAAGTGACGTAACGCTGCTTTCAGGCAGGCGGGGTACCACCTGGGGCTTGCTGCTTGTTTTCGGATAACTTTTTTATCTCAGCTGCTCTTATCCACGGATGTCCTGCAGGAGGGAGTGGAGTGGAGCGACAAGGAATAAACAGGGAACGAAAAGGGCAAAATAACATGATGCAACACATCCAACCTGCACACGCATGCACACCAATGTCTATTCCCTTCCCCTGCCTTCCCATTTCATCCCCATGCAGCCCAGTTCCACCTTCCCCCCTTCCATCCCACCTTCCCCCCTTCCACCCCCCCTCCCCATCCTGACTCCACCCCTCACAATCTCCACACACCACACCACACACCACACCACACCACACACCACTACCCGAATTCTTTCTCCTCAGTACACACCAAAAATCTCGAGCGCAGATATTCTCCGCCTCACATCCTTCGTCAGCATCCGCTGCACCAGATCCTTGGCGCCGTCCGACACCGCCACCCACCGCGGGTGCCGGAAGTCGACCGCTGCCGCCCGGATGATCTGCTCCAGCTCAGCGTTGGTCGCCGCCCAGAAGGGCGGGAAGCCGCAGAGCAGAATATAGAGCACCACTCCCGCGCTCCAGATGTCACACTCCGGCCCGTAGCTCTTGTCCAGGACCTCGGGGGCTGTGTACTCAACTGTGCCTGCCCTGTCGGTACGAGGGACACCTGGATGGGCGAGGGGGGAGGGGTGGGGGGGGGCCGGGGGGGGGGGCGGGGGGGGGAAAAGGGGTGAAAGGGGCGTGAGAGAGGAAGGGGTGTAGGAGATGGGTCATGTGAGCAGGGGCCGCAGGACAGAGCAGCATGTGGAGCACCACTCCCACACTCCATATGGCGCTCTCAGGCCCGTGCGACATATGGAGGCATGGCTCTTGTCTCAGATGCCATGTTTACCTCAGTGGCCGTGCGGTCCACCGTGGCCTTGGAGTGGCAGTGCAGCAGCAGCAACAGCAGAAGCAGCAGCAGCAGCAGCAGCAGCGGCACACTACCAACCAACCAGCCAACACCCCTCTCACCTCCCTTGGAGAAGGTTGCGACACCTTAGTCAATGAGCTCAATCTTGGTATCGACATCTTTGTCGCACATGAGAATATTCTCCGGCTTCACATTGCGGTGAATGACCGTGTTGGAGTGGCAAGTGGCAGTGCAGCAGCATTTGGACCAACACCACCACGCCTCACCTCTCTTGTAAAACGTCGCCACGCCGAAGTCAATGAGCTTGATCTTGGTGTCCACATCTTTGTCGCACGTGCGAAATGTTCTCCGGCTTCACATCGTGGTGAATGACATTGCCCCCCTCTCTCACTTGAAACCTCACCTCGCTTGTAAAACGTTGCCACACCAAAGTCAATGAGCTTGATCTTGGTGTCCACGTCCTTATCGCACATGAGAATGTTCTCGGGCTTCACATCCCGGTGAATGACCCCGTTGGAGTGGCAGTGCAGCAGCGCCTCCACCAGCGACCGGCACACGATAGCAGCGTCGGTCTCTTTGAACTGCCCTCTCTCCTTCACCCGGTCGAAGAGGTCCCCGCCCCGACACATCTCCATTATGAGATGGACATACTGGTAGGGGGAGTGAGGGGGGGGAGAGAAGGGAAGTAGGGAAGGAGGGGAGGAGGGAAGGAGGGAAGGAGGGAGGGAGAGGAGGAGGGAAGGAGGGAAGGAGGGAGGGAGAGGAGGGAAGGAGGGAAGGAGGGAGGGAGAGGAGGGAAAACCGGGATTTGCAGTGAGTGACACCGTTGGAGTGGCAGTGCAGCAGCGCCTCCACCAGCAACCAACACACGATAGCCGCGTCGGTTTGTTTGAACTGCCCTCTCTCCTTCACCCGGTCAAACAGGTCGCCACCCCGACCCGACACATCTCCATTATGAGATGGACATACTGGTAGGGGGGGGGGGTGGGGGGAGAAGGGAAGGAGGGAAGGAGGAAAGGAGTTGGGAGCAGGGTTTTGCAGAGAGATGTCCTGTTGAAGTGGCACAAGATGGCCGCATCAACCTCCTTTAACTGCCCCTTCTCCGTCACCCAGTCAAACAGGTCCCCAACCCGACACACCTCCATCATAAGGTGCACGTACGTACTGCAGGGGGGAGGGGATGGGGGTGGGAGAGGTTTGTGAGTCAGCCATGGATCGGTGGGATCGGGTAATGGAGGAGTTCACAGGTGTTTGTGTGGGTGATGCATGGGTGGTTGCGCAGCAAGGCAGTGAGAAGCAAGCACTGCGATGCAGGTTGATATGCCATACCATACCTTGCCATCCTCAAACGCATCATGCAGGCTGATGATGCAGGGGTGGGCGCGCAGCATGCAGTGGGGTGCACTTTGAAGCCACGAGGTACAGATGGTTGCGCAGCATACCTTGCCATCCTCAAACGTGCCTTGCAGGCTGATGATGCAGGGGTGGTTGCGCAGCATGCAATGAGACACAGTGAGGCGCCATGACACGCAGTGAGGCGCCATGACACGCAGTGAGACGCCATGACACGCAGTGAGATGCCACGACATACCATACCTTGCCATCCTCAAACGCATCGTGCAGGCTGATGATGCACGGGTGGTTGCGCAACATGCCCAGGATGATCACCTCCGTGCGCACGTCCTCTGCGTCCTCCATGCACTGGCGGTGGGGGAGGGTGGGGGGAGGAGAGGGACGGGAGAGGCATGGGAGGAAAAGCAGGAGTGAGAAGGGGAGGTGCTTATGGCACGAAGCATGCCCCAGGATGATCACCTCCATGCGCACATCCTCCGCGTCCTCCATGCACTGGCAGTGGGGAAGGTATGGGGAAAGGGGTTGGGGAGAGGGGAGAGCGCCTCAGAGCGCAGCATGCTCAGAATGATCACATCCTCCGCGTTCTCCATGCAATGGCGGCAGGAGAGGGAGGGGGAGTGCGAAGGGGGACGCTGAGGAGTGCTCATGGCATGCGGCACAGATGACCACCTCTGTGCGCACGTCCTCCCTCCATATGCTCCATGCGCTGGCGGCACGGGTATGGGTTTGGGGGGCTTCGGGGGGGTTGGACAGAGAGAGGGAGGGATGGCATGCTTTGAGGCACAGCATCCCCAGGATGATCACTGATCACCTCTCTGCGCAAATCCTCCGCGCATCCTCCATGTACTGTTTTGGGGGAGAGAGGAATGGGCAAAGGGAATTGGGAGAGGGGGGGGGGTCCCTCAAAGTGCACACATCCTCTTCGTCTTGCATGCACTGTTGTGAGGATACGGGGGAAGGGGGATAGAAGGGGGAAGGGGGATGGAAGGGGGAGGGGGGAGAGCATGCTTTGAGGCGCGTTAGTGCAGCATGCCATGGGGATAAGGGCGAGGGGGATGGTAACCTCCGTGGCCACGTCCTCCGCATCCCGAGCATGAAGAGTCTATTTTTGAGGCGCCTCAAAAATAGACTCTGTGGCCACGTCCTCTGCATCCCAATCCCCCGTTCTCCCACCCCTCTTCCCCCCCCCCCTCCCCCCCCCTCTCCCCCCCCCCTTCTTCGACTTCTTCCCTCACCTTAACTTTATCTTTCCGGATTGTCTTGCACGCCAGCACCGTGCGCATCTTCCCCTCCCTCCCCATCTTCCTTGGATCTATCCTCCCCTACCACTGCATCTTCCCCTTCCCCCTCACCTTGACTTGATCTTTCCAGATTGTCTTGCACGCCAGCACCATCCACGTCTCGACTCTCCGCTCCAACAGTTTCCCCCCCACCCTCCATCCCCCCCCCCCCATCGCTCCCTCTCTCACCTTGACTTGATCTTTCCGGATCGTCTTGCACGCCAGCACCGTGCGCGTCTTGCGGCTGAGGCACGTCCGAATGACGCCGTACCGCCCGCTGCCGATCTTGGTGGCGCTGACCGAGTAGAACTTCTTCACATCGTCGTACGGCATTCGGAGAATAAAATCTGTCCACCTCATGTTCCCTGAGTTCATCATCTGGGGAAAGGAGAGGAGGGAGCATGGGGAGGGCAGACGACCGGGGGGGAGGGGGAAAAGGGACAGAGCAGGGGGAGGGGAGAGGAAGGGGGAAGGGGGGGGAAGGGGAGAGCAGGAGGCTGACTGCCGATCTTGGTGGCGCTGACAGAGTAGAACTTCGTTATGTCATAGGGCATGCACGCTCGGGATGAAGTGTGACCATTCGTGCTATTTCCAACTCTCATGCTTCGTGAAGTCGGTCCGTCCATCGCATGTTGCCTGAGTTCATCAATTTGTGGGGAGGGGAGGAGGGGGATGATGACACTTTGTAGGCATGCATGTGTGCGCACACTCTCACACACACATGCATGCGCACACCCACATCCACACTCACACAAACATACACATACAGACACAGAACACACATGCACCCCGCCCCCCCTCCACACTCACACCCACGCACCTGCCACATGTTGGGTTCAGCCACCCCCTTTCTCCCTCTCCTCCCTGCCGCCATACATTCCCAGCTCGCCCATGAGCCCTCCACTGATACACTGGCGCACAGACACACACGGACCTACCCTTTCCCCCTCCGCACACACACACACACTCACACACTCACACACTCACACAGTCACACAGTTACACAGTCACACACTCACACACTCTCACACTCACACTCTCACCTGCCACATGTTGGCTTCGGCCTCCCCCTTCTCTCCTTCCCCCCCCTCGCCGCCATACATCCCCAGCTCCCCAGTGAGCCCGCGGCTGATATACTGGCTCAGACTCTTTATAAACTGCTCCGCATGAGGGTCCACTGTGTTGCGCCGCACCGGCTGCATCACATCATCCAGTGCGCCCCCTTCCCTCCCCCCCATCCCCATCCCCCCGCCCACCCCCTCTCCCCCGCTCCCCCCCACGCTTCCCCCCCGCGGCACCACTCCCCCCCTTTGCCCCACGAGCCCCTGTCCCTTGCTGTCTAGGGCTGTAGTCCCAGCTGCTTCCCCTGCTGCTCCTCCCCCCCCTCCTCCCCCTCCTCCCCCTCCTCCCCCTCCTCCCCCTCCTCCTCCGGCGCCTTTGACTGTCTCTGTCAGGCAATTAGTGCTCATGTTTCGCCTCATGCTACGCACCGAGCTGCTGCTGTTCCTGCTGCTGCCGCCGCCGCCGCCGCCACTGCTAGCAGTGGTAGCAGCGGCACTGGCACTGGCACTGGCACTGGCGTCGCTGGCAGTGGCGCTGCTGCTATTGGTAATGATGTCCCCCCCCCACCCACTCACACCAGCGAAAGCTGCCTGTCCCCGTCCCTGCCTCAACTGCCGCTGCCGCTGCTGCTGCTGCTGCTCCTGCTCCTGCTCCTGCTGCTCTTCCTCCCCCTCCCCAATCTCCCCCTCTCCCCCGTCTCCCTCCCACCCCCCCACAGCCTCCCCCCTCCCTTCCACCCTCACTCCTTCCACCCTCACCCGCCCCCAGCCAGCAGTCCTGAGCCGCCTGCTAGGTCCAGAGGCCGTGCTGGGGCGATCGGGAATGGCGGAGTGGGCAAAGACAGCCAGGGGGGACGCGTCGATGCCTGCACTGTCCAGCGACGCGCACGAGGGGACCACCCCGCCCCTGCTGCTGCCGCTGCCACTGCCACCACGCCCAGCACCAGCACCAGCGTTCGCACCCATGCGTCCCATGCCACCACGCCCCGCGCCCATCCCCACGCCCATCCCCGCACCTGCCCCCGCCCTCTCCGCCCCTCTTCCCCTCCCCACGGGCGTTCTCCCCGGAGGGGGGGCGAGGGGAGAGGCGGGGGCGGGGGGGCTGGCGTCGGGTTCGCGTGCGGAGTGCAAGCGGTGGAAGGCGAGGCTGCCCTGCACGCGGTGGTCCGGCACCAGCGCGTGCTCCAGGCGGCTGCTGCTGCCCGCCTTGCGCAGCTCGTACGCCCCCCCTCCCCCTCTCACTCCGCCTCCCGCTCCCTCTGCCCCCCCCGCTCCCCCTGCCCCCCCTGCTCCCCACCCCCCGCCTCCCACGCCTGCCTCTGCGGCTGCAGCGGCCTCCCACACATCCCCCTCGTCGTCTCTCGGAGTGGGCCTCTCTCGCGCGCTCCCCCGCATCAGCCCTCCCCCCCCACCCCTCGCTGCTAGCAGCGCCCGGTTTCGCCCCGGCGTGAGCGGCAACGACCCAGCACCAGCACCACTACCACTACCAGCACCAGCATTAGCAGCGGCGGCGGCAGCAGCTGCTGCTGCTGCTCTGTCTTGGGAGAATTCGTTTTGGTAAGGTGACCGAGGGGGCTTGGGTGACTGCAATAAAGAAGGGGTAAATTCCCCTGGAATCGAACCATCCCCCCACGCCCCGCTGCCCCCTGCCCCCATGGTTAAAGGGCTGCGGGGGGGAAGGAAGGTCGCGCCCCCCCCGCTCCCCATCCGCCTGGGGGACTCCATCGCTCCCCCTCCCCCTCCCCCTCCCCCTGCCCCTCCCCCTGCCGCCCATGCCTGGTCCGCGAACGAGTGGTGCCGGCGGTGCTGGCCGGCTAACTGCCGCCCAGCCACTGCAGCAGCGCCCGAGCCTGGCACTGCCGGGCCTAGCATCCCCGAGCCTGCAGGTCCGGGGCTAGCAGCGGCGCCGAAGCCAGTGCTGAAGCCCTTGGGGGTGAGCAGGCGGGGTGACATGGCATCAAACACAGGGTCCGCGCCAGGGGCGTATAGTGCGTTTGGGGGGGAGAGGGACAGGGAGGGGTCCCCCTCTGCTGACTCCGCCCCTTCTCCAGGCAACCCCCGGGGGGAAGCAGCAGTGAAAACCGGGGCTTGGTTAAAATCAACCGAAATTGCCCGCCGGTGCCTTTGCCCCCGGCCCGCGCCAGCCCCTCCCGGCCCCGCACCTCCCCCTCCGCCCAATCCCCCCGCGAGCCCCCCCATCCCCATGCCCGGCCCCCCTGCGCGGAAACGGCCTCCGCTTCCCCCCATGGCGGCCGCCGCGGGGCTGTGCAGCCCGTGCTTTATAGAGCGCGCCACTGCCGCTATCCGCGACCTAAGAGGCGACTTACTCTTCCCCGCTGTGGGCGGCAGGTTTTGTCTTTCTCCCCGCTCCCCTGGTAGCGGGGACATAGCGTCCTCCTCTTCCTCCTCCCTATACTCCTCACCCTCCTCCCCTTCCCCCTCCCCCTCCTCCTCTTCCGCGTGCACCTCCACCTGCAGCCGCGGCGGGTTAAGCCCCGAGCGCCGAGTGCCCCAGTTGGATAGTGCGCCCACCATCCCCCCTGCGCCCCCCCCCATCGGCGCGCTCCCCATGCTCCTGCTCCCAGACAACGCCCCCCCATGCGGCGATACCAGCATTTCAGGTGAATACCCAGGTGACTCGCTCCCACCTGAATCGACAATGTCCGAGCCTGCGGAGAGCCTGTGCCGAGACCGCGTTCCGGACAGGTTCGGGCTCCGAGCCTCGGCCCGAACCTCCATTCCGCGGCTATCCGAACCGAACCCGTACTGCAGCCCGCGCCTAGCAACTGCCCGGGGGGACTCAATAGCGCGCCCGGAGCTGTCGACGCTGCTACCCCGGGGAATTCCTCCGCCCGCGACTCCTCCCATCCCTCCGCTCGCCCCTCCCCCCGGCCCCGCCCGCTGGCGCTGCTGACTCGCAAAGAGCGACGCTTTGGCTGCTTCAAACGGGGATAACGGCTCGCTGGCGGACGAGGGGGTAGCGGCACCCATGGATCCGAAATCTACCGACGCCCGACGCCCGTGCGCCCGCCCTTCGCGCTCCTTAACCCGCTCCGCAAGGCCGTCCCCTTCGAACCCGCTTCCAGGTCTGCTTCCCCCGCTCCCCGGCCTGCTCCCCCCGCTCCCCGGTCTCCCCGTGGCTGCTGCGCCGCCCAGCCGCCCGTGACTGGTGTTCGGGCGGCCGCCGTGGCTGCTGCTCGGCCGGATACCCAACCCAAACCCTAATCTGAACCCCGTGGGGGACTTCTGCGGCGCGTCCGCCGCCCTTTCCCCCGCGCTTCCCCTTGCGCCGCCTCCTTCCGCTGCGCGCGGCGCCCCCTGCGCGCCCAGGCCCCCCGCGTCCGGAACGGGGAAGGAGAAATCGAGGGACGACACGTCGACGGACTGCGCGCGCACGTGTCGATTCGACCGCAGCGCATTGATATGACTGTTCACTGGTCCCCCGGATACTCCGCCGCCGCCGCCGCCGCCGGTGGCGCTGGCGTCTGTTAGGGTTGCTGAGGCGGGGAGGGATGACTCGAGAAGCGGGGAAGGGGGGCGGGGAGCGGGGGACAGCGCGGAACTGCTGAGGGGGGAGAATTGCCGACCCACGCGGGGATCGTAGCGAGGCGGAGGGCGGGACACTTGCCGCGGGTCCCCAGCCCCCCAAGCCGGTGCTGCTGCAACGCCTCCCCCGCTGCGCTGACCGAGCGGGGACCCGAGCGGGGAGGAGCGGCGGGCTTCGTCCGATTCAGAGGTGCGCCTAGAACTGGCGCTGCTGGCGGGGAGACCTAGCGGGGAGCCGGGGGAGGAGGAGGAGGCGGAATAGTCTACCGAAACCGATCGGCTGCGCGGAAAGAAGCTGCGGATTGCGGACACTCGGCCTCCCCCGCGCGCGGGCATTGCGGGAGGTCCTGCCGCGCCTGCGCCATCTCCTCCCCCGCTTCCTCCGCCTCCTGCTTCTGCATAGGCGGCGTCGCCTTTTCCCACCGAGCCAGCTGCTCCTCTCGCCGAACCTCCTCCGCTCGGCCCCGAACCTACGAAATCTCCGCGTCCTGTAGCTTCGGGAAAGCCCTGCCTGTCTCTAGGAGGATCAAGCATGGCCAACCCGTTGCACGACATTGCCGACTACACGGAATGCTGAATTGCCGGCTACAAGGAATGCTGAAAAATAAATAATCTCTCTCACCCCGAGCCTACCCGCTACGCGACAGGAAATTGGGGCTTGGTTAGTACGTTGCACTCTCTATATTTCGACCTTATCTATGGGGTTCCTGAAATAGTGAAGGACTAGCGGTAGGGAACACTCGAGATGCTGACATGTGGTCTCTTGGGACACTGTCCCGATTCTGTCTTGAGGATGCTAGGATTGACGCCGTTACGATTGACGCCGTCGTGGCCTCGTCTAACTAGGGTTGTTTCACCTGGCTGGGAGGGAGGTGACAAGCACTTGTCAGATTGCGGAAGGCGTATAATAATGACGTGCTAACTGAAAAACAAGATAAGGCGACTCAAGAGTGAAGCGACAATGATTCGGAGCCAGCCAGACAGCTAGGGTACGCATCTAGCTGACTAGCTGGGACATGAAGGCAGGGAAGACTTGAGCAGCCAGCCATCCTTGCGTGTCCCGATTCTTTCTGGGTGACCCCATGCAGCCAGAACTAAATGCTAACGTCGAAATCTTAGCCTTGGTACACGAACGCTGCAAAGCATAATCCACGCGCTACTGTCTCAAGTCATTGCAGAACTACGTGCCTGTCTGAGTGAGTGAACGGTTTAGAAAGACTGCTTCCGCAAGGAACGGACAACCAGAGCGAATGATCGCAGCCACTTGATCCTCTCCAAGCCTTTTCCTCAATCTCGCCTCGGTCCTCACGAAATGAAAACCTACTGTACCAACTTACAAATTTTATCGTGCTTGGACGTGGGTGGGAGGGGAAGAAAAGGGCACGTGAAGAGGGGAGAAACTCCTCCCTAGGGTGTCGGGAAGGACTCTGGAGAAGGGGCAGGGAGGGAGGAACTCAGCGAAGAGAAGCAATCCCAAGGTGAATTGATCGCACCGTACACAGTCACTCAATGGCATTAATTGGATCTTGAACGGCTGCGATTACATCTTAAAGGTGGGGGGCAGCCAATGGGGCCCGAGCAGTCGTGCACAGCACACACATTTCCCGCGTGTGGCCTGCGGTCAGAGTGGCCTTACTGTACTGTACAGTGCGCGGCGCGGACCTCTGCATCACCCTATGGCCTCCGGTGTAGAGTGTACCCTCCCCCCCACTTCCCCCGCCCGGTTTTGCGGTTGTTGAAACTTGAAACTCCGCAAGCGCAAAGCTCCCCCGAGTGCCCTGCGACCTGCGCCCGTCAGCCTGCTTTTAAGGGGTCGTCGTGAACAGAGCTCTGGCTAACAGGGCAATTACCCTTAATGTCGTGAAATTAAGAAATGTTTCCGACCTGATTCCGTTTGTTTGCATAGTAAAAGTTTTCTGGTTCCGTCTGCCTAACAGATTACTTTTCGTGTGATTCCTCGACATTGAAGGCTACTTTTCTTTGATTCCATACGAGGTGCAATTGCAGTAGGAGATCTGTTTGTAGTGGTCTATCACCCCTTCCCGCCCTACCCTCTACCTTTCCCAAAGGTCCACTAAGCGCGAATTTAGTTGCCGGGAGTTTTTCTACTCTTCCAACTGCCTGAGGCGTAGTATGCGCAAGAAACCGTCCCTGGGATTTCGCTGGCTTTCCTTAGTGTGCCCAGTCCATTTGCCTTCAAGGATGTTAGTATCAAACCAAGAGTAGCTCTTCGACGAATCCGTAGGAAAAATTTCGGCGATTCCGTCCACTAACGGGTATTTTCTGGGCCGATTCCGTGACCTAACGGAATACCCTAGGCTTAGCGAGAGCCCTGGTCGTGAAACAAAAACTTGCTAGGGACGAACGGAACGAACAATCGCCGCCTGCCAGATCCTTGCCAGCTGGGCCTACGCCAGAAGAGTAGCTGCCCTGAATGTGCCTGATTTCATAATTCACATGTTAAATCTTTTCCAGTTCCAGGTGGCGAACGAGCATTCCGGACGAGTTGCGTCATTTTAAAAGGCCCCCTCACTTGAATTACCACGCCACTCGCCACACTCGGCTACTCAGCAATAAGTGGTCGTAGGAAATCATGAAATGGTGATGAAACTCTTCTCCGCCAATATTAACGTCCCCATTCTGTGAGGAGCCTACCAGAACTTCAGGCACAAGCCCGTTGCGTTGTTCGAGTTCCACGTTCTGTGAACTGTAATTCGGACGCGAATGGGTTGATTTTAGGCAACTTCCAGAATGCTTGAAGGATATCAGGGTACTTTCAGACCTAGTTCCTGATCGTCCGAATCCACCAACTGCGAAAGAGACTCTGGTCCCAAATGGACGGCCAAAGCCAGCAACCTTCACAGCGCCAAGGGCCAATTGGACGGTACTACAGCTTCCCCAGAGCTCGACGGCTTTTGGTTGGCCAGGCCACCTCCTCTTGGTCAACGACGTTACCGCCCGAGTCTTGTTCGATATAAGTCACAATGACGTAAGCATGATATGAATTGACATACACCATCTAAAAGTGGTTCAACCCCCTCAAACGAGTATCCCTCTAATCGGATAAACTAAACCCCTGTCACCCCTCTCGTTTACGCAAGCGAGCAGCAAACGCTCCATCAATTCCGTGGCGATGTGGTAGAGATGCAAAGCATCGAAGGCGAGATAACATCGATTCTGGCAAAACGGACGAGTCCAATGACTCCAGCACAAATTCCTGCAACCACGACATGGGAATATGCATGGTGTGACAGAATGTAACAAAAGCACAACCATATGCACTGGGGTGGATCCTTAAAACACACCCACATACATGTGAACGAAGGGCACAGGATGATGGCGGTGCCGACGATGACGATGTTTTGGCACGATGCAATGGCCGGCCAGATGTATCACAGGCAAGAAGGCTGATGAGTGGCTTAAGAGAGTGAGATGTGCAAGGTGGGTTAGGTCGATTGGGTTGGGTTTCGGTAGGGCATGGTTGAGTCCAGAAGTGCGGAGTTGAGTGTGGTTCATACAGGGTGGGTCTGCAGGAACTCGACAACTCTGTCCTCATTCTCGGGTGGCTCGATGGAGCACGTGGAGTAGACCAACACACCTCCCGGCCGCACCAAGCTGGTGCAGAGGGGTGGGGAAGGGTGTTGGGGTGGGGGAAGAGATGGGGAAGGGGGGTATGAATGGACGAGACAGAGTGTTCCTCAGCTGCCATTCTTTGCAGCCGAATCCATCTCCAAATCACCTCTCGTAGCACTGGCAGGCCCATCTCCTACGTGCCGGCTGGTGGCAGCAGCCACGTCAGCATGCACCTGGCAGCAGCAGCAACAGACATATCAGCATCTTCTTGCAGCATCCGCATCAGCCTCCTACCTGACACAGCAGCAGCCACGTCAGCATCCTCCCTGGTACAGCAGCAGCCACGTCAGCATCCTACCTGGCAGCAGCGTCCAACAGCTCATCCTGCAGGGCTGTGAGCTGCTCCTCCCCCTCCACTGTCCTCCTCCACCTCAGATCCGCCCTCTGCGTGAATAAGCAAGAAAGAGGATTGTGGATGTGGATAACGCAGAGCGGAAGAAACGGATCTTAAGAGTGGATCGAAAACCACTGCTCCCCCCCCTGCTCCCCCTCCACTGCCCTCCTCCACCTCAGATCCGCCCTCTGTGAAAGGTGTGGGAGATGGGCGGGAGGGATGCATGCTATGGATGTGCTGTGTACGGGGAGAGAGTGGGAGGGATGGGGACTTCGCAAATCCCTTTGACCTCCCGCCATCACTGTGCTCCAATTCGATCTGCAACTAGGAGAGGTTGAAATGTGGAAGGTCAACAGCATGACATGTGCAAGCTGTCAGAAACAAAGAACTCGATTGATTGAATGAGCAAGAGCATACATCTTTTAAGTATCGAGCATCGGAGAGGATGGGAAGAGATAAGGGAGAATCGGAGGGAATCCCAAGGGAATCCTCCCAAATTGTGGCGATTTGGGATGGATTGGGTTGAGATAGGTTGGGGATGAAAACAAAGCTACACCCCACCTAACAAATATGCCTAACCCCAAAACCAGCAAATTACTAACACACAAAGTTGAGCCAACCGAATTGCGGCCCATCTTCAACACAAGCACATCCTGTTAGAGTCACCTTTGGTTGGGCCCCCCAACCACCATCCACACCTCTACCCCCAACCACCATTCCTGCCTCACCCCCCCACAAGGTCACCTTAGCGAGCACCCCAAGGCCGGAGCAAGGCGCGTCCAAAAGCACTCGGTCTGCCGACCCACGGAGGGGAGACGAGGACTGGAAGTAAGGGGGAGAAGTGGAGGTTTGGGGGGGGGGGGGGTGGGGGGTGGGGGGGCACTTGTAAGGTAGAAGGTTCTTGGGTGCCTCTGAGCGAAGGACCCCTCATAGCGTAAGTGCATGGGTCAGGAGCGACGCACCCCCCCATGTGCTGCAGTCCCCGCTGAGTTGAATCACGATGCTCATGAAAGAAAACGGGAATTGATTGAATGAAATGAGAGACAGCATACAAGCTTAAGTACCGAGCAACGGAGAGGATTGGAAGGGAAAAGGGGAAATCGAAGGGAATCCCAAGAGAATCCTCCCAAATCGTGGGGATTTGGGATGGATTGGGTTGGGATAGGTTGGGGATGGAAAAGCTACACCCAACCTAACAAACATTCCTAACCCTAGACAAACAAATTACTAACACACAAATTTGGTGTCATCCACATTCCAGCCTCACTCCAACAGCCCACGCGTCACCGCATTTGAGTCGACTAAAAAACAACACACCACTTCCTAAGACTCAAGCAGTGCCTCACAGCATAGGTGCGCATGTCAGCAGCGACGCACTCCACCGTGTGAGAGCTGCAGTGCGTTTTGAGTCGACTTCAATTCAACACAAACTAGATCTCCAATCCATACGGATCTCGAAGCTGTGCCCCGCAGCGTAGGAGCGCAGGTCAGCAGTGACGCACTCCCCCATGTGTGCTGCAGGCTGTTACAAGCAGACAGAAACACCCTTTTGAGGTGCCTCAAGGCACAGTATTCCTCACAGCGTAGGTGCGCAGGTCAGCAGTGACGCACTGCACCATGTGCTGCAGTCCCTGCCTCTCTGCCGCCTGTGCCACCATGCGCACCCGGCCCTCATTCACGTCCACTGCCACCAGCCGACCTGCCGCGTGCGAGGTGAGGGAAACACGAAGTGAGTGAGACATGGGGTGAAGGGGAGTGGTGGGAGAGAAGGTGAGAGGGAATGCTGCAGTGGCTGCAGCTCCTGCTGCTCTGCTGCCTGTACCACCATGCACACCCGCCCCTCGTTCACATCCACTGCTATGTGAGTGAGGGAGCTGCAATGTAACGGTAATGGTGACATGTAACAGTGCGGCGTTACAGTTGGTGTACCAGTGACATGTAACTGTAAGGCACGTAGTGGTGTGACGGTGAGACATAGTAGTAAAGCCCCAACAGTGAGGATTGCCAACAAACAGACGTGCTACCATCATCAAGCAGAGCCCCTTCCCACCTGGGCCTTGCATCAGGCCAGTGGCATACATAGCCTTGCCCCCAGGTGCAGCACAGCAGCAGGGCCTCTCATGTGTCTCTCATTGCCTCTTGTTGTCCTATTGTGAATCGTGTGTCTCTCATTGCCTCTCCTTGCATGCCAGCAGCAGCGTACCCACCTGCGCCGTGCATGAGCCCAGCGGCATACATGGCCTTGCCCCCTGGAGCAGCACAGCAGTCCACCACCGTCTCTCCCGGCTGGGGTGCCAGCACCCGCACAACCAGCCCTGGAGTGAGTGTGAGAGGGGTGGGGAAGAGAGGGGGTTGGGGAAAGGGGAGGGAGGAACCCACTCATTGAGCAGCAGAGCAATCACTACCGTGGTTACCTGGTTACCTGGTAGCATGTGCCCATTGCTACCTGTGCTCTCATCAACCACGTTGCACATGCCCCCCACTCTATGAGCCCAGCACATCCTGCATGCTTACACCATTACATGCACCCCCATCAGCCCCACCTGCGCTCTCGTCCTGCACATTGCACGTGCCCGCTTCTATCAACCCCGCTGAGAGCACATGCTGCATGCCGGCGCGCACCCGAACGAAATCGTCCAGGTATGGGGAGTCTTCGATTTCCACCTGCAATGATTAAGACAGTAGACAGACATTGACAGTGGTTGAGAGAGATTGAGTGCACTTGGGGGAGAGGTATCAACCAGCTGAGAGCACATGCTGCATGCCGGCGCGCACACGAATGAAATCGTCGAGGTACAGGGAGGCCTCAATCTCCACCTGGGGTTTTGGGGACGAAAGAGAGAGATAGAGAGAGGAAGTGCATGGGACGGCATGGTATGGATAGACATGGTCAAAATGCGATGCAACGCGATATCGCATCGCAATTTGACTTATCGCGCATTCGCATCGCCGCGATATATTTTTGAAAAAACCCCAAAATCGCGTATCGCGTTTTAGGTGCGATATTTTTAAATATCGCACTGTAGAGTGCGATATATCGCGCTGTAGAGTGCGATGTATCGCGCGATGCGATAAAATATCGCATCGCCAGGGCTAAATTTTAAGGCAAAGTAAACTACAGCAGCAATTTGGATAGTTAGATAACTGGGAACTGCCGAAGGGTTTCAAACAGGGGCACAACACACCATTACAACGTCGGTTCTAATAAATTAACAGCAAAAAAAAATGGCGAGCTCCAAATATTGCGGGCGATTTTTTTAATATCGCGAATCGCCTTTTATCGCGCCAAAAAAGTGCGATATAAACGCGATATCGCATAAATGGCGCGATATAATCGCATCGCATCGCCGCGATAATTGTTATCAAGAAGAAGAAAAGGAAAAAAATTCGCCATCGCAAAATGCGATATAATGCGATGCGATGCGATATGACCATGTCTAGGTATGGATGGTATGAAAGGCGATATGAGACGATATGAGCAAGGCGGGTGGATCCGACCGCAAGCAAATAGCATACGCGAAAGTGAGAGAGCAGGGGAGAGAGCACAAGCATGAGAGGACGGCACGAGGTGGCATGGCATGGGGGTGGAGGAGCGTACCTCAGGGAGTTCCTGCAGCAAAGCACGCAGATCTGACCGCAACACCCCTCTAGCAGTGTTCGCTCTGATACATTTTTTCGGGGGTGTGGGTAGGAGACGGTGTGGGTGGGAGAGGGTGTGGGTGGGCGAGAGGGGGGAGATGGGTGAAGAGAGGGAATCAACGAGAGTAGGGGAGTGAGCAGTGAATTAAGAATTAAATAAAACCCTCCACCATTAAACAATAAGTGGAAAAAATCGGAACGAGACAGCGATGCGCACCTCAAGGCAAAGACAGGGCGGGCGTTGTTGCTCTCCATGAGCCGCTCCGCCTCGCGCCACCCCAGCCTGTCAGCCCACCGCCTCACCATCCACTGGGAGAGAGAGGAGAGGGAGGAGAGAGAGGAGAGAGAGGAGAGGGAGGAGAGAGAGGAGAGGGAGGGAATAGAGGAGAGAGAGGAGAGGGAGACGAGAGAGGCACACCAGAGGAGGGGGGAAACGGAGTATGAGCCAGGCCACTGGCATCTGCTCCCCATGGATCTCTCTGCCTCACGCCATCCCAGTCTGTCGGCCCACCGCCTCACCATCCACTGGGAGAGAAAGAGGAAAAAAGGATGGGGAGAGCGGGTTGAGGGGGAGAAGATGGGAGAGAAAGGCAGGTACGGGATGGCAGTGTTTTTGGAAGGACATACCAATGCTGAACCAATCACTTAGGACGCTTCTTTTCTAACCCATGTGCAGGATGGTGGGGCATGAGGTGGCACAATATGGTATGTGCCACATGTGTGCGCCCTGGGTACCTACCCTGGAATGTGCCACGTGTGCGCCCTGGTTGGAACATACCTTGGTATGTGCCACGTGTCTGCCCTGGTTGGAACATACCTTGGTATGTGCCACGTGTCTGCCCTGGTTATTATTGGTACATACCACGGGGTGCGAGTGCAGAGTAGCGAGGGCTCTGGCCTTGTCCCGGTCTGTCATGGACTCATGCAGCGATGGGACCGGCAGCACTCCCTGCTCCTCCTGTGGTGCATGGGCATGATGGGCATGATGGGCATGATGGGCATGATGGGGATGATGGAGATGATGGGGATGATGGAGATGATGGGGATGATGGGGATGATGGGGGTGATGGGGCATGATGGGCATGATGGGCATGATGGGGATGATGGGGATGATGGGGCATGATGGGGATGATGGGGCATGATGGGCATGATGGGCATGATGGGGATGATGGGGATGATGGGGATGATGGGGCATGATGGGCATGATGGGGATGATGGGGGTGATGGGGATGATGGGGGTGATGGGGATGATGGGGATGATGGGGGTGATGGGGGTGATGGGGGTGATGGGGATGATGGGGGTGATGGGGCATGATGGGCATGATGGGCATGATGGGGATGATGGGGATGATGGGGATGATGGGGGTGATGGGGCATGATGGGCATGATGGGCATGATGGGGGTGATGGGGATGATGGGGGTGATGGGGATGATGGGGATGATGGGGATGATGGGGATGATGGGGGTGATGGGGATGATGGGGATGATGGGGGTGATGGGGGTGATGGGGGTGATGGGAGTGATGGGGATGATGGGGGTGATGGGGGTGATGGGGGTGATGTGGGTGATGGGGGTGATGGGGTGATGGGGTGATGGGTACAACGGGGAGCAATGAGGGGGAAAGGGAGGAGGAAAGGTAGGATGGAAGGGAGGAAGGAAGGAAGGGGAGGGAGGGAGGGGGCAAAAGCTGGATGGAGGCTGCAATTCGCTCAGCTGCATGCACTGCCCCCTCCGACTGCATGCACTGCCCTGCCCCCCTCGACTGCATGCACTGCCTCCTTGCTTCGTCTCATTCCCCTCCCACGATATTTCTGCACCTCCTACCTGCATACCTTTGCCCGGGCAGCTGCCCGCAGAACGGCATTGGCCAATGAAGCGGCTCCGGGCCTGAGAGCTGCCCGAGCGAGCTTGACTGCCTGTGGGGAACAGCGGGCAGGCGGGAAAATTTGATGGTGGATCATGAGTGTGTATGCGTTGACTTGATTGAGTTGATTCAGTGACACCACTGCCCCCATTTACTCAGTGATCCCATTGATCTCATTGCCCCCATTGACCCACTGACCTCATTGACTGCATTGACTGCATTGACTGCATTGACTGCATTGGCTGCATTGGCTGCATTGGCTGCATTGGCTGCGTTGGGTGCATTGGCTGCGTTGGCTGCATTGGCTGCATTGGTTGCGTTGACTACATTTACTGCACACGCACTAACCTCGTTGACTGCAGCAAAGGGTGGTGTATCCATCTTGGAGAGCTCAAACATACCCAACCGAAGAATCTACAAACGAAGATAAATGCAAAAGGGTAGACAGGGGGAGAGGAAAGAGCAGCATTGTAGCAAAGAGCTGCCTCCAACCCTCAACACATTGTCTAAGCCGTAGGGAGCAAAAGCTAAAGGCCGATGCCTCATGGAGCACAGCAAGGCAGGAAAAAGGTGAAGCAGGAAAGAGTTAAAGCTCCCTATGCTGCTCCCTCCCCACCACCACAGATCGGATCAGCCAGGAGGGTAAATTCCCCTATGCGCCGCACACCACACCTGCTTTAGAAGTGGCTCCATCCTCTCTAGCTCCCTCGGGCTGCCCGAGAAAAACTCCGAGAGAAGAAAGTCCAGATAGCGCCTCCACCGGGTGACACCTGCAACCAGCTCCGTGACCTGCCTCCTACTGCGCCCCTCCAAGGGCAAAACCCCAAACCCCAGCGTCCGCCGCACGTACTGCATCTCCATCTCCCACCCCCCTGCCCCCTCCCCCGCCGCTGCCCCAGAGAGAATGTCCGCGTATGCTCCCCCCTGCTCTATGCGCAGCAGACGCACCACAGCGGCTGAGGGGGGTGGCGGGCGAGTGGGAGGCAGGGGGGAGGGGAGGGGTGTATGGGGCACAGAATTAAGTGCTGCTCCCGAGAGAATGTCCGCGTATTCTCCCCCCTGCTCTATGCGCAGCAGATGGACCACAGCGGCTGGAGGAAGGACGGAGGGGGGGGGGGAGAGGGCGGTAGGGGGAAGGGGAGGGGTACATGGGGCATAGGTTTGTAACGTTTCAAGAATCTCCCCTCTCCCCCTCGCTGCCCTTGAGAGAATGCATGCGTGTAATCCCCCCTGCTCCACGCGCAATGACGGGGGGCGAGGAGGGGGAGGGGGGAAAGGGAGAGGGGAGGGGTGTGGTGTTGGGGAAAGGGGAGGCGTGTGGTGTTGAAGGGGGGGGCGTGTGGTGTTGAAGGGGGGGGCGTGTGGTGTTGAAGGCGTGTGGGTCATACGCTTCAAGGCTCTGCCCCCTGCCCCGTGTCTGCCCATGAGAGATGTAGGAGGGGTGTTGGGGTCGGGGGATGTAATGGCACTGTGTTAATGTCTGTCAATGTACCAATGTCAAACAAGTCTCAGTGGCGTGCACTGAGCCAATGGCATGCAATGGACCAATGGCATGCAATGGACCAATGGCATGCAATGGACCAATGGCATGCAAGGTGGCAATGTCTTGTGTCTTGCGTAATAACCGGTCCTAAACCCCGAACTCTCCACTAATTTCCAAAACCCCAACCCCCTGTCCCCTCGAGCCCCACGCACGCACCTGCTCTGTACGGCGAGATCTCCTCCCGAATCACCACCTCCCCCTCCTCCTCCTCACTCCCACCCGCTTCCTTCTCCCCACGTCCCTCCTCCCTCCCCCCATGTCCCTCCTCCCTCTCCCTCCGCCTCTCCCCTTCATCATTCCGCCTCCACTCCCCTTGCCTCTCCACTCGTCCCTCTCCCCGCCCTTCGCTCCCCCCCTTAAAACCTCTTCTCTCTGGCGTCGAAACTTCCGAGAAACGACGTCGTTCTCTTCTTTCCCCGCCAATTCTCCTTCCCCCTGCTCTCCCCCCACCGCTTGCGCCATCCTCCCGCGTCCACACGTCCCGAACCTCCCCCCCACCGCCGCGATAACTTCCGTGCAAGCTCCGCGCGCCAGCGCTATCCTGCCCGGCGCGCAACCTTCCCCTGGTTCTCCGCGTAGGCGCGCAAATCTCCCGCCAGTGCGCAGGCGGGAGGAGCAACTTTCTCCTGAGGGGCTCTAGAGAAGGCGTACCTAAGGGGAGCGGTAACTTGCATCTCTCTGCCAACTCGGTCGGAAGGTAGGATAACCCGTAGCCCGCAAAGCACGCTGATGTAAGGCCATTCATGATGCTAGAGGGAGTACCGAAATTGTGAACAGAACCAGCTCTTCTGATTGAACCGACTGCTGGAATGCGAGGAATTCGTCAGGGATTGGGAAGTAGAAGGAACATGCGAATGAAGTCTACACTTTCTAAATTCGGAGTTATGCACAGAAAATACAACTTGCACATTCAAAGCCTTCCCACTTTTATTGATACCTTACCCAACGTTTTCAACGTCTCACGTTTTAGTGCAAATATCCGTATCAGCACATGTCGTCATACGGAGCCCAGTTCTCAACCTTCGTATGTCTAACGAGAAAGAGGAGGCAGCAGTCCCTTGAAAGACATCGGCCATCGCACAAATGGCCTTGTCTAAAGTCGCCGTCAACGATACACCATCGTGAAATTGGTACCGCTTCAGCACTGCCGCCCATGGCTCGTCTTCAAACGACTTGGGTCTCCGAATCATCTTGAACCCCGGGATCCTCTCTCTCATGAACTTCTCCAATGCCTCCATCTGTCCAAGGGACATCGCAAGGGAGCGAGAAAAATAGCAAATACATTACACGCAGTCAAACACGGCATACGCATTTCACGCACTATCCAATCTCCATAATACCTCCCTCACCTCGTGATCATCAGTGTCCGAGGCAAGGAACATGGTGGTGATGTTGCCCGCCATGCCCATGGTCTTCACAAGGCATGCGCCCGCATGCTCCACAGTGAGCCGCGCGTTGGGGTTGCTGTGGCCCATCAGATCCGTCCGCCTCCAGTGCACTCCCACGTACCGGCCAACTGCCCGCCCTCCCTCCTGCTCCTCCTCCCACTCTCTCCGGCACCCCGGCAGCGCCACACTCCGAACGAACTCCCTCGCAGCGGCCAGGATAGCCGGGTGCGGGGCCACAGCAAGGGCGTTGGGGCAGTCAGGGGTTTGCCTGAAGGGAACGTCCAGGTACTTTTTCCCTGGGAAGGTGAGGTGCATGGACCCCAGATCGCCCAACAGAGCTACCCTGGTGGTCGGCTGTATCAGAGATTGCAGGGCGACGAGCTTCGGGACCTCCAGAGGCTCGGGGGCGTTGCCGACCGTGAGCGTGAGGTTCGGTGGGTAGGTGACGCCGGAGAGGGTGGGGAGGTCGTCGCGGGAGCCGGACTGGTTGTAGCACGGCTTCTGCAGACAGATGACCTGGTCCACTTGGATCGTTGCTCCTAGGGGAGAAGATTCTTGTGATGCAGCAGGGGCAGCGGCAGGGGCAGCTGCAGGAGCAGGCGCACTTGCTGCTGCTGCAGCTGCTGCAGCTGGTGGTGGAGGAGTGGCTGCAGGTTCCAGTGGTGCTGCTGGGGCGGGTGGCACTGGCAGGGCGAGCAGGTCGTCCAGGGAGATCACGGACCGCGGACCGTAGCACAGGCGGGTGTGCTGGTGGGGCAGTGCGGAATGAAGAGGATGGCAGCAACAAAAAGAATCAACTCATGATGCTACAGCGGGCGGCAGCGGCAGGGCGAGCAGGTGGTCCAGGGAGATCACGGATCCTGCGCCGTAGCATAGGCGAGTCTGCTGCTGGGGCAGTGTGGGGTGATGGAGGATTGCAGAAGAAAAGAAGACAAAAAATGAAGTGAGATGAGAGCACGCAGCACAGCTGCAGGTGGAACAAGGCAGTGCAGATTGGCCTCGTGCGCTGAGGGTGCACTCTGAGGGTGCACTCTGAGGGTGCACTCTGAGGGTGCACTCTGAGGGTGCACTCTGAGGGTGCACTCTGAGGGTGCACTCTGAGGGTGCACTCTGAGGGTGCACTCTGAGGGTGCACTCTGAGGGTGCACTCTGAGGGTGCACTCTGAGGGTGCACTCTGAGGGTGCACTCTGAGGGTGCACTCTGAGGGTGCACTCTGAGGGTGCACTCTGAGGGTGCACTCTGAGGGTGCACTCTGAGGGTGCACTCTGAGGGTGCACTCTGAGGGTGCACTCTGAGGGTGCACTCTGAGGGTGCACTCTGAGGGTGCACTCTGAGGGTGCACTCTGAGGGTGCACTCTGAGGGTGCACTCTGAGGGTGCACTCTGAGGGTGCACTCTGAGGGTGCACTCTGAGGGTGCACTCTGAGGGTGCACTCTGAGGGTGCACTCTGAGGGTGCGCCTTGCGCTGTGAGGGTTGAAATGCGCACCTCCAGGTGGAAGAAGGCTCGGCGGTCGTAGTGCAGAGCGACCTCGTCCGCTCTGAGCGGCACCACGAGAGTGCGGTTGAGCGCCCCCGCCACGACCAGATGGTTCTTGATGCAGCGAATGCGGTTACTCAGCTGCACACATGCACCCATGCACCCATGCACACACACACACATGCAGGAATATTGAGATGTTATCTGGATGTCACATCCCACCTGGTTACCACATCCCACCTGGTTGTCACATCCCACCTGGTTACCACAGCCCACCTGGATGTCACATCCCACCTGGTTACCACAGCCCACCTGGTTACCACATCCCACCTGGTTACCACAGCCCACCTGGTTGTCACATCCCACCTGGTTACCACAGCCCACCTGGTTACGGTGGCAGTCCATGAGCACGTATCGGTCCGCCCGTGGCTCCCAGACCATGCTGCCCGTTTCAAACCCCATGCGGAACGCCGACTGCATCCCATGGCACTGCTTCCCACCCACCTTGCGCCGCTCCTCCGCCTCCCTATGCTTCAGGGTAATCGCCCTGCCCCACTTCACCCTCCCCCAGTCCTGTTCTGCTAATTCTCCTCCCTCTGCTGCGTCTCCTTGTGGGAGTGAGGCCACAGAGGTGTCTGCTGCGGCAAATGGGCTCTGACCTGTCGCTGCTGCTGCTGCTACTGTTGCGCCTGGAGCAGGAAGGGATTGCGGTGCTTGTGCTGGAATCGAGACAGTCATTATCGAAGCTCTGCCTTCCCCAGGGGGCGGGGGTGACGGCGGTGAGGGTGGGACTTCAGACACAGAGAGCGGTGGAGAGCGGTGCTTGTATCGCGCGCTGCTGGTGAGCTGTCCTTGCGCATCCCCTTCCCGCCTTCCCTCCAACGCTTCTTCCAACTCGCTCTCCATCTCCCCCACCCTCCCTGCCACTATCTCATCGCCAGTCGCCACGCCCAGAGTGACATTTTCGCGGAGTGCTGGTAACCCGACATGGAGCAAGCTACATAGGACGAGGAGGCGGAAGCTGTGCTGAAGCCACACGCGAGAAGGCATCACGGAGAGATAACGAGGGGGGAGCGCCAACTAGAAACGCTAACTGGAAACGCTAACTGGAAAAGCTAACTAGAAACGCCGATCTCTAACTAGGAGCGCAACTTATAAGTCCGTCATTCACGCTTGTCGTTCCTCATGGTTGACTTGACGGATACATGAGGAGAAGCAACAGAAATGCTGGGAAAGGTGGGCTGGAAAGCCGAATTTGTAAACATGAGTTTGCACTACAGATCTGATGGACGTCGAAATGACGTTTACACTTCACCGTTAGATGAAGTACGATGACCTGCATTATCATATATTGTGCATTTGATGTACTAGTACAACTAAACTCACGACACCTGCAACCCATCACCATGCCAAGACATAATCTGGCCTTCACAAGCGTCCCAGCCATCATAGAACATTTCCCACACTCAGCTACAAGGTGGGCAGCAGAAATTTACGCCAACTGAGCCCACCCATTGGCAGATGACCATTTACAAATTACCAAACGAGCACTTGAGCAAGGGGCCATAGTTGCCCCATAAATAACAGGTGCTGGAAGGGCCCCCCAAATTAGCTGCATTGCACACCAGAGCAACTCTAGAAGCCCTTGTAATTTTTTCACGAATGCCGCCGCTCCCACACAACAGCTGTATCTATCTATCCCAGCTGCAACATCTGGAACCGGCACGCAAACTCCTCTTTGCTCCGGCCAATCCTCATATTTTCGAGATGACTCGAGGACCGCCGCTCCCCGCTACAACATCTGGATCTCGTTGAGGAGCTCCTCTACATCACTCATCTCCGGCCAGTCCCACACCTGCTGCAGATGCCACCGGGAGCAAGCTAAGGAATGGCAGCTGTATCCAGTCCCATGGCATCAGCTGTATCCGCTCCCGCCACAACATCAGGATCCCATTGAGAAACTCTTCCACATCGCTCATCTCCAGCCAGTCACACACCTGCTGCAGATGCCACCCTGGAAACAAGCACTGGAGCCCCAGAACCACCTGCGCCTGTGCCTGCCTACTTGCCCGCTACAACATCTGGATCTCGTTGAGAAACTCCTCCACATCGCTCATCTCCGGCCGGTCCTCCGCGTTATCCGCAATGCACTGCTTGGCGATAGCCGCCATCATGAGCGCGCCCTTCCTCGGGTACTTGCCCTGCAGCCGCGGGTCCATCCACTTGTCGGGGTCCGTCACATTGGGGTGCAGGTGCTTGTACATGGCGGCTGCTAGCTTCACGTTTCGCTCGTCCACGGCGTCCTTCCCTGTGAGCACTTGCAGGAGGATGATCCCAAAGGAAAACACGTCGCTCTTTTCCCGTAGACAACCTGGAGAACGAGGGGTTGAGGGGGGAACAGGGCGGACGGGGGGAAGGGGGTTAGAGAGCAAAACGCATTGCCTGCAATGTGCATGTGCCTGAATTCAGACAAGGCTTGTGTACATTGGCAACAGCACGCACATGTCTCCATGTAAGAGGGGTCGACGTACCCCAGAGTGGCCAAGCCCAAGACTATGAGCCTCACTCCTTCCCTCATGCGCTAACAGCGAGGAACACAAATACGCCGCAACTCAAGACTCAACAGCACGCACCTGTCTCCTTGTAAGCGGGATCGACATACCCCAGAGTGCCCATGCCTATGCCCCTCACTCCTTCCCTCAACTCAAGAAATCGCAAGACGCACCTGTCTCCATATAAGCGGGGTCCAGGTACCCCAGGGTGCCCATGACTCGCGTGCTCACGTGGCTCACCCCCTCCGCTGCCTGCTTCGCCATGCCGAAGTCCGTTAGCTTCGCCTCCATGCCCTGCCATGCCATGTGCCATGTCATGTGCCATGCGCCATGAGCCATGTGCCATGAGCCATGAGCCATGCGCCATGTGCCATGTGCCATGCGCCATGAGCCATGTGCCATGTGCCATGCGCCATGTGCCATGTGCCATGCACCATGTGCCATGCGCCATGAGCCATGTGCCATGCCATGCCATGCCACATGCCAAGCCACATGCCACACAAAAGAATGAGAACACATGCAGAGAGACGCAGAATGCTGCACTCAGACGACTTCCTACAGCGATGGCCCCTCTGCCACGCGCACTGCAGTCCCGAGGATGCAGTGAACCAGCAGGCAATTCACCCCTACCCCCTCCCTCCTCTGCCTATCTCCCTTCTCCCCTTCCACATGGTGGTCTTGCAGGTGCACCAGCACGCCCGCTGTGCCCTCTTGAGTTCACTTGAGACTCGCTTCACACAGCCAGACTGCATTGCTCTCTGAGCCAGCTCTAAGTTCACCTGATGCAAGCAGTCATCTCTGTCTCCCTCCATACCTCGCCCAGCAGGATGTTGGACGGCTTGAGGTCGCGGTGGATGACCTTGTGCTCGTGCAGGTGCACCAGCGCGCCTGCTGTGCCCTGCACCACCTTCAGCCGCGAGTTCCAGTCAAACGCCTCCTCCATGCGCGCTGAGGGGAGGGAAGGGGAGGGGGGGTTGTTTGGGGGAAGAGAGGTGGGGAACATGGGGGGTTTCGAACGAAGGAATGCAAAAGCGCGCCCGCTGCGCCCTGCTGCGCCCTGCACCACCTTCAGCCGCGAATTCCAGTTGAACGCCTCCTCCATGCGCTCTGTCAAATGCGTGTGGGGGGCAGGGAGGGGGGGGCGTTGGGGAAGGGAGGGCAGGTTGGTCTCATGTGAAGGGCAGGTTGGTCTCATGTGAAGGGCAGGTTGGTCTCATGTGAAGGGCAGGTTGGTCTCATGTGAAGGGCAGGTTGGTCTCATGTGAAGGGCAGGTTGGTCTCATGTGAAGGGCAGGTTGGTCTCATGTGAAGGGCAGGTTGGTCTCATGTGAAGGGCAGGTTGGTCTCATGTGAAGGGCAGGTTGGTCTCATGTGAAGGGCAGGTTGGTCTCATGTGAAGGGCAGGTTGGTCTCATGTGAAGGGCAGGTTGGTCTCATGTGAAGGGCAGGTTGGTCTCATGTGAAGGGCAGGTTGGTCTCATGTGAAGGGCAGGTTGGTCTCATGTGAAGGGCAGGTTGGTCTCATGTGAAGGGCAGGTTGGTCTCATGTGAAGGGCAGGTTGGTCTCATGTGAAGGGCAGGTTGGTCTCATGCGAAGGGCAGGTTGGTCTCATGTGAAGGGCAGGTTGACTCACAGGGGAAGAGCTTGTCGTCCAGGCTGCCGTTTACGCATAGCTCATAGACGAGCAGCGCCTCGCCCTTCTCCGCGCAGTACCCCACCAGCCGAACCAGGTTCGGGTGGTTCAGGCTCGGCAGGAGCAGCACTTCGGCCTGCATGCACGCAGCAGGTGGCGATGGGGAGGGAGGAGGTGGTCCATGGTGGAAGGGGAAGGCGGGAAGGGGGGAATGGGGAAAAGGGGGGAGGGGGGGAAGGCGGGAGGGGAGGAGAGGGGGAGAGGAGGAGGGGGAGGGATTGGGGGGAAAGGGGGGGTGAGGGATTGGGGGAAAAGGGGGGGTGAGGGATTGGGGGTAAGTCGAGCTGTCAGGTGTTTCAACAGATGGGAACATGGCAGGAGGCAGCTATTTGAGCCCCTTCCCAGTCACTAGCCACTCGCCCATGCCTCGCGAGCTCTCTGGAAAAAGCACCTAAAGAAACACCTTGGTCACGTCCCCTGTGGCCTTATCTGCCAGCGTCCCCGGAACACCTCTCCAAAGCCTCCTCGACCCCCTAACCGTCCATGCCACGCACCAGCCACTCGTCCATGCCTTGAGAGCTCTCCTGGTTGAGCACCTTCACCGCCACTTTGGTCACCTCCCCCGTGACCTTATCAGTCACATTCCCCCGGTACACCTCCCCGAAGCTGCCCTCCCCCAGCACGCCCTTCTTGCTGAACGAGTTGGTCGCCGCCTTCAGCTCCGCCAGCTTGAACTTCTTTGCAGCGTTGGCCGCACCAGCTCCTCCCCCGCTGGTCGTGGTGGTAGTGACGGTTCCTGTGTAGGGGTCCAGGAGAACGAGGGAATAGCAGGGGGGGGTCCAGGGGAGAGGGAGGGTTGCTGCCTTCTGCTCGCCCAGCTTGAACTTCTTCCCCCCGTTCGCCGCACCAGCTCCTCCACCGTTGGCCTGGTCGTAGTGACGGTTCCAGGAGAACGAGGGAAGAGTTGGGGGGGTCCAGGGGAGAGGGAGGGTTGCTGCCTTCAGCTCGCCCAGCTTGCACTTCCTTGCAGCTATGGCAGCCGCGGCGCCAGCCCTGCTGGTCGTGGTGGTTGTGACCGTGCCTGTGTAGGGGTCCCGGGGGGAGGGGGGGGAATTGGAGTACCGGCGAAAAGGGAGAAGACTAGGGATCCGGGGGAAACGGGGAAAACTAGGGTTCGGGGGAAAGGAAAGGAGGTAGAGTCGGGTTCGGGGGAAAGGAAAGGAGAAATGGAGAGGTAACGGGTGCATGGAGATCGCAAGTAGACGCGGGGGGAGAGAAACAGGCGATCAGGGGGGGGAGTTGATGGGGGAAGGAACATAAGTAGACACGTAAGTCTAAAAACAGATGACGGAGTTCACGGGAGAGCTCTCTGGGCTTGATTTACTCCTTTCAGAGACACATCCACAGCGGAGCCATTATTGAGAAATCTCGATAATGACACCCGCAACGGTTCCGACCCTACCCTCGTTCCGCATGATTTCGAGCAACCCTCACCCCCCTCCAACACCAACGCCACTAGCTCAGAGGGTTATGGCTGAGTGTGAGGCACAGAGTGTCTAATTGATTGATAATGACTCGATTTGCATTTTCCACCACGAATGATAATCTCGAGCTTTGTTCGACCAATTCACACGGAATGCACACCTGAGGAGTCCGCGACAATGGTACCTGAGGAGTCGGCGACAATGGTACCTGAGGCATCGGCGACAATGGGAGCGGAAATGGTACCTAAGGAGGAGTCGGCGGCACTGGCGATGGGGGCGGAACTGGCGCCGGAAGTGGCGGTGGAGTTGACGCTCTTCTTGGGCGCGTCGGAGCCGCCGGAGCTCTTCTTCGCGGCTGTTGTGGCGGACGACGGGGCGCTGCGAAGGCTCGTGGAAGACTCCTTCTTGTCGACCGTCACCTCGACTGACATGCAGCCCCCCATGATGGGCGGAGGGCGGCGACCGGCCGAGAACGGTGATGATTGAAACGACCTCCTGAAATACTTAAAAGGGCCTCCTGGAATACCAGTCGGGTGTCACGGTGACCGAATTATAAGAAAAACTCTGATTGTCACAATCAAGGTCCTACTGAGGCACTCCTAGCAGACGGTAAAATAAAAAGAAGAACCTTAATCGTCTTATGCTAGATGATGCTTTTAGCCGTGGTCGCAGACCATACGCCGTGGTCCCCTAGGCGCCAAACCCTCTCGCTGAATTATATTGCTGCTAAGCGAGGAGACACTCCGACTGATACGAATAATATTAAAGAAACGCTTTCCGCTTCTCAACTGCAATAAGGAGGCTCTTCCCTATGGCACTTTCGCGAAAGAGAGGTGAGGAAGAGTACGCACTTCTACAACGCAATGCGAGCCCCAAGGACTACGCTCGGCCATAATGTCACCTCTAGGAAGCTATCAGCGACTCCCATCAACGGCGCTAAGTGAATTGTTTTAAGACTAAATAATAACGGAGATATGACTGAATACTGAAACGCGTTGTTTGCCAGAACAGGGACAGCGATGACGACAGCAATAACTACGACTGTTAGCTGCTTGCTGTTGGTAGCATTCCAGATCCTGCAAATGTTAGAAGTACGTCTCACACCTAGATCCTTGGGAATACACCGCGATGTATGGCGAGTCCAAAGCACAAACAACACGCTATACCTAGAAGATAGAAGCCTGCCCAGACCGACCAAACTACGGTAGGTGTAGAGAGGGGAGTGATGGATGCGTGGAGTGTAGAACCAGAAGGGGATGAACTGTTGGAGATCAACCAAGGGAGTGCTGAGCCAAGCTTGACTGCGATTACCCCGTCAACAGAGCTGTAACCCGACTGCCTAAAATACGCAACAAAGTAGACGGTTGTATACAATATATATTCAGAAGTACTTCAGACCAATAAGATTGTTGTTCCTTACAAACAAAAAATCTAGTGGAAGGAAGAGGGTGAAAAAGGCCATTTACAACTTCGAAGCAGGTAACGTTCAAAAAGTGTCACATTCAAGCTTTTGCATCACAACTTCCATTTCCCAGATTCTCCACTAGGCTGGGATCAGCAGAAATGAGCAGGATGACTTGTCTACCAGAAGTATCTAAGCAGTAGTCTCCCCACAGTTTTCACCCTCTCAGTACATATACGGTACCAACCATGGTTGCCAATCAACAGTCTCACTAATGAGGTACAAAACTTGCCATAACGAGAATAAAACCTAGAGAAATAATCAAGAAGGTTTTTACAAGGTTCCAAGACGCTAAAAACCAACACAATTCCACGCCCAAACATTCACATCAAGCCAGCCATTCCCCAACCATTCCCCTAGTTGAGCATGAGCTTGGCGTCGCCGTCGATGAAGAGGCTCATGAACTCCTCCCCGTCCACCGTCTCCTTCTCCATGAGCAGCTCCGCCAGCTTGTGCATCACATCAATGTTCTCCGTCAGCAGCGTCTTAGCCCTCGCATACGCCCTGTCCACCAGCTCCCTCACCTCAGAATCAATCAGGTCCGCAGTCTGCATGGAATACTCCGTAGCGTTGGTAACCTGCTGGCCCAGGAATGGGTTCCCGCCACCTCCCCCCAGAGCCAGCTGGCCGATCTTCTTGCTGAACCCGAACCGCTCCACCATCTGGCGGGCCACGCGGGACACCTGCATGAAGTCGTTCGACGCGCCCGTCGTCACGTTCTCCGAACCGAAGATCAGCTCCTCGGCAATGCGCCCCCCCAGAGCCACAGCCATCTGGTTCTCGAGGTAAGAGCGGGAGTAGAGCCCAGACTCCAGGCGCTCTTCGCTCGGGGCGAAGAAGGTGAGCCCGCCAGCGCCGCCGCGGGGGATGATGGAGATTTTCGCCACGGGGTCGTACTCGGGCATGAGCGCGCCTACCACTGCGTGGCCCGCCTCATGGTACGCCACCAGGCGGCGCTTCTCAGGGGAAACCACGGCGCCCTTCTTCTCCGGCCCGGCGATGATCCTCTCCAGGGCGTCCGAGATCTCGTCCATGGAAATCTCCTTGAGGTTGCGCCGCGCGGCGAAGATGGCCGCCTCGTTCATCAGGTTCTGCAGGTCGGCGCCAGTGAATCCGGGCGTGCGGCGAGCCACCTTATCCAGATCCACGTCCTTCGCGAGCACCTTCCCGCGGGAGTGCACCTTGAGGATCGAAACGCGGCCAGCTACGTCAGGACGGTCGACGGTCACCTGACGGTCGAAGCGGCCGGGGCGGAGGAGCGCGGAGTCGAGGACGTCGGGGCGGTTGGTGGCGGCGAGGACGATGACCCCAGTGTTGCCCTGGAAACCGTCCATCTCCGTCAGCAGCTGGTTGATCGTTTGCTCGCGCTCGTCGTTGCCGCCGCCCAGCCCAGCGCCTCGCTGCCGGCCCACGGCGTCGATCTCATCAATGAACACGATGCACGGCGCCTTGGTCTTGGCCTGGAGGAACGAGACGACAAGTAAGAGGATTTGGTCAGGACAAAGGGACAGTACCCGGCAAATTCTCTGTTACACCAAACTTGATAAAACTATGGTGGATATTGTGGTCTCAACGCCGGGTGATAAGGAATTCTTGTGAACATTGACTTGATTCCAAGATCTGTCGTCACCGGCTCACCTTCTGGAAGAGGTCGCGGACGCGCGAGGCGCCGACGCCGACGAAGAGCTCGACGAACTCCGAGGCGGCGCAGGAGAAGAAGGGCACTCCCGCCTCGCCCGCCACCGCACGCGCCAGGAGGGTCTTGCCCGTACCGGGGGGGCCGACGAGCAGGCAGCCCTTAGGGATCTTGGCACCCAGCTGGGTGTACTTGTCTGGAGGCACACGAATGAAAGGAAGAATTTCGTTAAGACTCCGATCGGTCTAATGAAGCCGATGCTATAGATTCAGTCTTAATGCGGATCTTAAGATCCAATTCTCCCCAAGTTCCCTGTTACCAGCGCACCGGAAAGAAGCAGATTCTTGAGGAATTTTATAAAACGGAAAAAAACAAAACCTACCAGGATTCTTGAGGAAGTCTACGACCTCCTGCAGCTCCAGTTTGGCCTGGTCAGCGCCCGCGACGTCCTTGAACGTCACGCCGGTCTCGGGGACCTCCTGGAACTTAGACTTGGCGCGTCCGAAGTCCATGGGCCCGCCGGGCCCGCCGACTCCGCCGGGGCCTCCCTGCGCGCGGCGGAAGAGGAAGAAGAGCCCCGCGAAGGCGATGAGCGGGAAGAGGAGATTCGCGATGAGCCCGATGTAGTTGTTGCCCCCCTCGCTCTCCGCGACCGAGATATCCACGCCGTTTTGGGCGAGGATGTCGACGAGGCTCGGGTCGTTAGGTAGCGTGACGGTGGCACGGCGGCCGTCGATCGCCGTCAGTTGCAGGAACGCGCCGTCCTTGCTGAACCGCACGCGCTCCACCTTACCGCTCTGCACCGCACTGATGAACTCGCTGTAGCGCCAGGTGGTGCTCTCGGGCAGATCTAGGCGGTTGGCAGTGGCCACTGGGGGAGCAGTGAGGGACGACTGCCCCAGGGCTGAGGGAGCAGCAGCAGGATTAGCGATCTGAAGCTCCGTCCCGAATACGGGAACCGAGGGAGCGGAGACATCCTCAGCGAAAGCGGCGGGGGATGCGGAGAGCGACAGGATAAGGGAAGCGAGAGCGGCGGGAGGGAGGGCCTTTGAGAGGGAAAGAGCGGCGTCGTCGGCGGCGGCTCTAGGGGAGGCGTTGCGCTGGCAGGCTGCGACGAGGTGCTTCTTGACGGTGACGGCTAGGCGTTGGCCGAGCACTGAGGACCGCAGCTTCTGCGGTGCGGCGCTGCTCTGGACTGCGCGAGGGGTAAGCGCGAGGGAAGCGCAGGGAGCAGCGAGGGAAGCCATTGAGCAAGAACTAATGCGAAGAATAAGCGTCAGATAAAACTTGCGCACGCGAATGAGCTCGCCGAGAGTCTTGGTCCGAAGATCGACAACAACTCAAATAGCAGCCTGCAGCGTAACGGTTCAACCCTATCAAAGAGAGCAGTTATATGAATGGCCATTTGTCATCTCCTTGAATTTATGTCATCGTCCAGGCTGTCACTTCCTGGCATTGCCGCACTGCCTAGAAGCCTCTGTTCCGGTCTCCCCCCTGACCTACGGTGGTTGCGACGAGGGGGGGTGGGAGGAAAGGGGGGTGGTGGGTTGAGGGGCTGTGGTGAGGCCAGCAGTTCCCAAGAGGATGTGCAGGCACTTGGAGCAGCGAAGAATCGCGTAAGGTCTCGCGAGCCAATCAGGCCGCGTTTTGGTAGCCACGAAAGCCCGCACACCTCGACGAATCCGAGCAACCTCTTGATGTTGGCGAGTGACGTGGAGGCTCAGATGGCACCGGCATACCGAAGCCCAGAAGTGAGACGTGGGTCATCCATTCACTGCCATGTGTCCGAGATTAGTGATGCTGACGAAGGCAGCGAGAAGGGGAGTGCAGGGCAGAGGCGAACAACGTCGCTTTTGGATATAGACCTGTTTCGCTATACATATTAAGAGAGATCCAAGGGGATACTACTATGGGCAATCTACAAGAAAACTCCCTCTAACTTGCCTTCATTCAGAACGACCCATTTAGGAAACCCTATAGTATCACAGGACAACTCATACGGGTTAAAACTAATGTAGAATGGCATTTCACGTCGTAGTCATCATTTCAACAAGCTAGTAGGCCTTTGCTAGAGTGACGAGGGAGAAGCAACCAAGGGTGAGTGGAAAGTAGAGCACCAACGAGCGGACGAACGGACGAACGAAGCCGCTTGCCCAGTAGCCATTGACATGTGTGCAACAAAAATTGTGACAAAAACTTCAATTGAAATAGGGTCACTAGTCAAATTGAAACTTGATAACTTTGAGCGCGTCAAAACGAAAACCCGCGAAAAACCTCACCCCGTTCGTCAAAATGTGCGAATGCACGAATTGTGGTGGCTGGGGGGAAGCCCCAGGCTAAAATAGCAAAGGCAGGCCCAACTTGAAAAATAAAGCTTAAAAAATCGACTAAGTATTGTGGCCTGTTGTTTTTCGTCTGAAACGGCACTGTTCCAGAAGTAGATTGCGCATGCATATGAAATTGCATTGTCGCATGTGATTGGCGCAAGCTAAGCACACATTGAGCTAGTTGCGTAGGCGTGTGGCATGCTAGCTACCTAGGCACGTAGGAAGCTAGCCGCCTAGGCGCGTGAAGCTAGCTGTCTAAACGCATGGCGTGCAAACTAGGCACACATTGAGCTAGCTGCGTAGGCGTGTGGCACGCTACCTGCCTAGGCGCGTAGGAAGCTAGCCGCCTAGGCGCATGAAGCTAGCTGCCTAGGCGCATGGCGTGCAAGCTAGGCACGCATTGAGCTAGCTGCGTAGGCGTGTGGCACGCTAGCTGCCTATGCGCATGGCGCGCAAGCTAGGCAGGCAGTGAGCTAGTTGCTTAGGCGCGTAGTGTGCGAGCTGCCTAGGCTCACGGTGATACCTCACTCGGCGCGTGGTGCGCTAGCTGCCTAGGCGCGTGGAGAGCTAGCAGCCTAGGCGCGTGGCGAGCTAACAGCCTACACCCGCAGCGTGGTAGCAGCCTAGGCGCATAGCGTGGTAGCTGCCAAGGCGCCTAAGAAGCTAGCACGCTAGACGCATGGCACGTAAATTGGCTAGGCGCACAACGAGGTATTTGCGTTGGCGCGTAGCGTGCTAACAGCCTAGGGGCACGGCAATCTCTTCTCTCGGCGCGTAGGTGTAGCGTGCTAGCTGCCTGTGAGCAAAGCGAGCTAGCAGCATAGACGCATAGCGTGCTAGGCCAGAGATAACTAGCTCCCACTCTCCCTCTCCCGCATCGTCCCTCTCTGTTCCGCGTTGTCCCTCTCTGTTCCGCGTTGTCAGACCCTCTCCCGCGTCGTCCCTCTCTCTCCCGCGTCGTCCCTCTCTCTCCCGCGTCGTCCCTCTCTCTCCCGCGTCGTCCCTCTCTCTCTCTCTCTCGTGTCATCCCTCTCCCTCCCGCGTTGTCCCTCTCTCTCCCGCATCGTCCTTCTCTTCCGCGTCGGCCCTCCCTGTTCTGCGTCGTTGTCTCTCTTTCTCTCTCTCTTCCTCATCGCCCCTCTCTCATCCTCGTCGTCCCTCTCTCGTCGTCTTCACTCTCGACGTGTCTCTCTCTTCGTCGTCATCCCCTCTTGCTCTCTCTGTCGCCACCTCGCTCTCCCAGAGTATACGTTTCTCGCTCTAGGGATAACCCTTTTTATGTGTGTAAATACGCGAGGTCTTGGGCCCCTGCTGACTAACTCAATCAATGTGGGCTGTTTCACATGGCAATTTCCATCCTCTCGTGCGACATTGGGTTTGCGAGTGATCAGACTGAAGCTGTCGCACAAGCAAACATGTACAGTACCATTCATCGCATCACCCAAATTTCGCTTCAAAAATTGCTTGCCAAAATTGTGGCACGAATCCAACTGCCCGTAAAAAGAACGCCGTTTTCTGAATAATCGATGCCTGTTTTTAACTCAAGATGGGCCCAACTTGAAAGTGGGTTTGCTATTTTAGCCAGGGGCTTTAAGCTGTTACTGTAGGTGAATTTTCACGAGTGCGAAATGTCATGATTCACGAAGGTGTCACTGCTCGGTAACAAAGTCAAAACTACAATTTGGAAGTTTATGGTGGTCTAGATTGTCTTGCTTCGTGATCCGACCGGAATTTACAACACCACCTAAATTGCCAACAGGCAGAATAAACGGACGAACGGAGCCCCCTCCTTTTTTCCATGCACCTTAAAACCACAGGCTAGAATAGCACACCTGCGGAGCTCTTGAAAATGTGTTTTGTTTATGGGCAGATCTTTTGGTACGTTTTCTATCACGAAATCGTATGGGGAGGCGAAATTGTATGTAATGCGACGTAGCATTGTTATGTTATTGGTGCGCGACTTTGATTTGGCATCAGATGCTCGCCTCATCAAGTTGCGACTGACCGCTCACACAGCTCATTTTTTTCAAGAGCTCCATGGGTGTGCAATAGGTTTTGAACCCAAGGTTTACCTAGGTCGCATTTCGCGGAACCCATGTGGCTGTTCGGCACACAAGCTACACAGTTTACCTTCACCTTAGTCGCGAGTCGCGGTCAAGGAGCTTCGTAATGTGAGCCTGAACACGTGCACCGAATACTCCCGAGGTACAATATGTTTTTTCGTTTCACCAAGTTGGCGAAAAGTCATTTGAATCGCGCGCGCGTTTCCCGCCTCGTCGCACACGCGTCAAATCGGCGCCACTGCGTTTGTATCATTGTTCAGCTGCCCAAAAACGCACCCCGCAAAATCGTACTGGGAACCAGGCCTCTGGATAGGATTAGAAGTACTCTTTCTTGTAAGGGTACTCGCTTGCTGCCACTTTTTCTGTAAGGGTATATTTAAAAGCTACTTTGTAATATAAGGGTCCTAAATATTTGTACTTTTTCACATAAGGGTATAACTCCAGCGCAGCCTTACACTTTACTGTAGGTACAGGATCTCGCGTGATCAGACGACTGACGTGTTGCAGATTTGTGACGACGTGCCTTGGGTGGCACTCGACAGGGTGCACCAAGATTTTTGTTTTTGTTTGTTAGCGCTGAAGTGGGGGGAATGTCGCACCTCGGTAATTTTGCTGTTAGTGCGTATTTCTACATTAGTGCTTTCAGTACCAGAGAACCAAACTTCGCGAAGTACCAAATCGAACCGAACAGGAATTCGCGTTTTGACCCTCGGACCTCACCGTTTCGCGTTTCAGAGTCCATTCCGGGTTTGCTGGTAGTGATTACTGTCTTGTAGAAATACGACCTCATTCCCTAGACCCTTCCTGGTCGCGACCTCATTTCCCGTTGGTGCCGCACTCGTTTTTTGTTTGTTTTTTTTTGTTTTTTTTTTGTTTTTTGTTTTTTTTTTGTTCTTTCATTTCTTTAGCTAATGTAGTGGCCGATACGACTCTACCAACACGAATTATACATTCAAGTCGGCAAGTTTTGTAACCGTGCGCATGAATTCTTGGGTGAGTGGCAGCAAAAAAAACGTAAACCATTAGCAGAAGAAATTGACGACTTGAATCCCCGTCGTGCGCGGGCAGGGGCCAGGTAAAAACCCGTGGAAACTTCAATTCAAGTCGCCGAGATTCCCTCGCCGAAGTGGGTAGGGGGGAAGAGAAAATTTGACATATCACGTCCAGGGCTTTGTTTTCGTTTCAGGCTACCCTGTAATTTCAAAGTAGTTATTCCCCCGAGTCTGACTGGAACACACTTGGAACTGGGGGACTTAGCCGAATCCTCCGGGTTGCGAAGGTACTACAGCGGCTTTGTCTCTGCGAGTGGGGGACTTCACCAATTTTTCGGGGTCGCTCGAGGGCTGTGGGAGGAATGCCTTAGGCAGTGGGGGACTTAGCCGAAATCTTGGGTTGCGGGGGGTATAGGAGGAATGACTCTCGGATTGGGGGGACTTAGCCGAAATCTACAGGTTGCCAAGGGGATAAAATATTTCAGGGGGGGATCGCATGTGTGATTGTGTAAGGGTGATTTTACACAACACTTTTCCGCATCAGGGTCCCTACACTCGACCACTTTGAAAAAACAGGGTCCCGTATAGATCTAGTTTTTTTCATAAGGGTCAAAAACTAAACCACTTTTAAAAATAAGGGTCCAACAGCTACCCCACCCTTATTATAAGGGCCGTAAGGGTATTTTACCCTGATATCCTGAGGCCTGCTGGGAACCCGTTATTTTCAAAAAGAACTATTTTCAAGAACGGCGCTCTTGAAGCCCCCCCCATGCTATTTTAGCCTGTGGTTTTAAGGGATTGGGGTAGAAGAGTATAGCTAAGGGTTGTACCCTCTAATAACCGAACCTACCTACAGTGACGGAAAAAACTGTCCGGATGTTTGGCATTAATTAGGTTTTTTAGGCTTTTCGACCACGGTACACAAAGTCTTAATGTTTAATGGTGGTACGCTTTTGGAGGGGCACATAGTGGATATGTTCACAGCACTTACGTCCATAGTAGTACACTGCATCTAACTTAGTGCCAAAAGTTATACAAGGGGGTCATCCGGACAGTTTTTTCCCGGGACAAAGCGTAAACTTCCGAACAGGTTTCTAGTACCTAGTACACCGACCCTTGGCCTTGATCACCACCCGCACCCTCCTAGGCATGTTATCTACAAGGTTAGTGCAAACCGTTGCAGAGATCTTCTCGCACTCTTCCTGGACCCTCCCTTTTGCATAAGGGGGTGAGCACTAGGAAAACCGCGAGGGATTTGAGTGTCTGCAAGTTTTTTGTGCACGATTTCTGTTTGAATGTTATGTATAAGACTAGCCACACTGAGGTATGACCAAAGATGCCATTAGCCGATTAGTTCCATCTTATCATGGGTCGTCTTTGTCGTACTGCTGTAGGGTAAAACCATGAACAGAGCGGCAAAAAATAGTGTATATGCCATGAAACTGAGGGTGACGTAGCACGGTTGATTATTCATCCTTGCACTATTAGAATCACGCTAGGATCTGCATGTCTCATCACGGTGCAGCAGTCGAAGAAGTTGCGAATGTTCGGCAAGAATATTCAGGTTGAGGTCTGGTGAAGAAAAGGGTCACTCAAGTGCAACATACTTATGCTCCCCAATGCTCTCCAAGCCATTTGTACTCCATAGGCTTGGAATAGAATTGGAGAGCATCAGTTTGTAGCACTGGAGTGGCCCTTTTCTTCACCTGACCTCAACTTGGATATTCTTCCACAACATTCGCGACTTCTTTGAATGCTACACCGTGATGAGACATGCAGATCCTAGCGTGATTCTAAAAGTGCAAGGATGAATAATCAACCGTGCTACGTCACCCTCAGTTTCATGGCATGTACACTATTTTTTGCCGCTCTGTTCGTGGTTTTACCCTACAGCGGTACGACGAAGACGACCCATGATAAGATGGAACAAATCGGCTAATGACATATTTGGTCATACCTCAGTATGGCTAGTTTTATACATAACATTCAAACAGAAATCGTGCACAAAAAACTTGCAGACACTCAAATCCCTCGCGATTTTCCTAGTGCTCACCCTCTTATGCAAAAGGGAGGGTCCAAGAAGAGTGCGAGATGATCTCTGCAACGGTTTGCACTAAACTCATAGATAACATGCCTAGGAGGGTGCGGGTGGTGATCAAGGCCAAGGGTCGGTGTACTAGGTACTAGAAACCTGTTCGGAAGTTTACGCTTTGTCCCGGGAAAAAACTGTCCGGATGACCCCCTTGCATAACTTTTGGCACTAAGTTAGATGCAGTGTACTACTATGGACGTAAGTGCTGTGAACACATCCACTATGTGCCCCTCCAAAAGCGTACCGATATTAAACATTAAGACTTTATGTACCGTGGTCGAAAAGCCTAAGAAGCCTAATTAATGCCAAACATCCGGACAGTTTTTTTCCGTCACTGTAGGTGTGAGAGTACGACACCGTTACACCACTTGGCCTTTTCCATATTTCATCTTCATTTCATTCCTCTTTTTATCTCATCTCCTTTTGCCTCATATTCCCCATTTTCCATTATCCTTTGGTTTCTTCCCCTATTATAATTATATCACCGACCAAGCATGGAATGTTCTAGACACGCTATCTAGCGTAATCCTGTCGTAATCTCTTAAAGCCAATAGCCTCGCGTGGCTATACGCAGGGTGATTCTATCTTCTAGAAGGGTCTATTCCCTTAGGATAAGATAAACCTGGTTACCTGATGTATTCTGGAAGTATAAAAGCGCC